GTTTGGTTATGAGGTAGTTTCGCGTTCTGTGGTTCATGAACCGCTGGTGGACCTTTGCCATTTTGTGCAGTTTTAGGTGCTCTTTGAACTGGGTTCATAGTGTTTTGCAAGTGATTCTTGATCACAAGGTGTTGCTCTGAGTTCTCTTTCATTTGCCTAATAGGCATACTGGTTTAGTTTTACTTAACTTGAGCACCGAAAATGACACAACACAAGAACAAAAGCTTTGTCCAGAAGAGTTAAAAAAGATGGGAAAGTTTTCACGAAACGGCACACGCAGAAAGCACTGGTTTCTCCTCTATTCTTATACTTGTTTTGCTCCCCCTTCACGGATTAAATGACCCTTTCTGCTTGAAAATACAAGAAACAAGTAAGGAAAATGTATGTCAGTGAAAAACACCAAATTTTGCAAAAACTGCAGAGGAGTAAAAATACATGTTGCTAATGCAGCAAAGTTGCAAAGGCAAAAGTAAAAGTGGGTTGGGTAAAAAGTCCAGACTTTTTTGAGCCATTACAAGCTTTACCATTCTTTTGCAACAATAAAACCCATCCTTTCACCTTTGTTTCAACATCTAATTCCCAAAAACCACATCCTACTATAATTAAAATTGCCAGTCAAAAAGCAAAATGGAATTACAGATAACTTAGAACTGTAAGCACCCTTTTATAAACATATATTTAATAAATTAACACACAATTATTGTTCTTATTGTTTTCAAAACATTGCACAAAAAACGCCTCAAAAGACCAAGCAAAGGAGAGATAACCAAAGGCACAAAACCCCAAACCAGGCTTGCAACTAAAATCAGCTCTGCAACTTTAAAAAAGGATAATAGTAAGAGGCAAAGACAAAACTGAACATCAACTCCAAAACCAGACCTTCTTGAGAAACCTCTAATGTGACTCCAATGGCCATAAAATCATGAGACAGAAACATTAACAAAACTAGTTAATTATAATTTAATGGTACCCCAAAACAAAAAATGGATATACCCAGAAGACAAAACCATTCTCCAAAGCTTGTCCCTACCAAAAACTGAAACTTCATTAGGAGAAAAAATATCGGACCACAAATGAATATAAGCCCAAGCAGATAAAAACATAGCAACAGCATTTAAAGAAAGTTCATTTATTTTATTTATTTTTATGTAAAGAACATATTTTGAAACCATGAGACTTGGTTTTTAGAAAGAATAAAAGCCATCTAGAAGAAAACAAAAAACAAGAACATGTATACAAAGAGAAGAATAAACATTGAAAAGGGCAGTGAAATCACTATCGCATGGATATTCAAAAACAAAAATTTAATGCTTCGGTGAAAAATAATAAAATGAACCTATCAAAAGCCATCATGAAAGATTACCGGGGTAGTACATATCCAAATAACTCACCAACTAAGTGAAAAAACATATGAAGCAGTAACTTTGAAGCAAAAAAACAACAATAGAAAGGGAGAGGACGAGGTTAGAAAAGATGGGTTGAAGCCAAAGAACGTGAAGAGAGCTTAAATGACAAGGCATAAGTGGGAGATAAAAGATGGGTTTTTGTGGAGGATTCAGAGAAGGAAATAAAAAGAGAGAGAGAGAGGCATAGAGAGAGAGAGGGAGTAAGTGAAAGAGAGATGATGATGATGATGAATCTTTATACACGCATGCAAAGTGCTTTTGGTGTTTTCTTTATCACGTGTAAAAGCCTTTGTGAGCCCCCTGCCCCTCTCTCTCTCTCTCTATCTCTTCACTTTTAAAAAATGGCTTTCGCCTTGGCTTGGCCTTGCCTCTCTTTCTCTCTCTTCTCTTTTACTTTGTTCTCGGTTCTGAACTGATGGCGCAGCCTCGGGGACGTACCATGACTTTTTTTTTAAGACAAAATAATAATAAAAGTGAAAGAAGAAAAGGAAAAACCCTGTCTTTGAAAAGCACCTACATATACATATATGCATAGATACATATAGCGAGTAAGAGAGAGGAAAGTGGCTGGGGATGATGGATGGAGTGGCTTTGTTAAATAGTCCAATAGAACTAACTGAGGGGATTTTATAAAAGCAATCATACACACAAGAAGAATAATTCGAACTTGCAGTCCTCTCTCCTGCAGACTTCTCCATTTGGTGCTCCCTCTTTCTTTCTCTCTCTAGACCCTATGTAATGCTTGCCCCTCCCCTCTCTCTTGTTAAATAGTCCAAAACCATACTAATTTTTTTTATTACTCCATTTTTATGGTGTAGCACTCTCATCTGCACCATCACCATCCATCTTGAGGCCTATTTGTAACGGTCGATACATTAGAGATTGGAATTTGGGTCCTACTTTTTTTTTGAAGTGGTCAGTGGCCCACTAATCCTTATTATCTTCTCATCTTAGGAGTGATTAATTAGTAATTAATCAAAAACTTTCTTAGGTAATTAAAACTGTATTGGATAATGTTAATCTTACCCTCTTTCCTCCATTCATTCAAAGAGTAAAATCTTTGTGATAAATGAATGAAGAGAATGACAGAAATTATGACTTATATATAGTAGTATATGTGAAAATCTCCCGATAGGATTTGTTATGTACATTGGGTTGGAGTTCAGCGTGATAATTGATATGAATGTTGACCAACAGGGTCAACATTGTTATTGTTTTTGGGGCCCAGAGATCAATGGTGTTGATGTGGTCATGTCATGGGGTTGGGTGGGGTAGGGATGTACATTATACCTTATGATGGATCCTTGGACTCTGAGAGTTACAGGACAAAGACTAGCAGGGAGGTGGAGTAGTGATTGTGTATCATGACATTCTGGACTTGGAGAGATTTTGGGTCCCAGCTTTAAAGACTTAGGACAATGTTGGCTAGTGAAGTAGATCAAGTTTCAGTTTGATGGGAAGGGAAGCCAGCGCCCCCTCACTTACTCATTATATTTTGGATGCTTCTCATTGGTGAACTGGTTTGGGAGATCATTGCTCTGTTGACCTAGTTTGAAGATTGTTTGAAATGATTGTGTTGTGTAGCTCATGCTTTGGCCTTTTCATTCCAGATGAGATCAGTGGTAGCATTTGAAATCTTTCAAAGGGGAAAAAAAGGTCTCTTTAAAAGGGGTTTCCATTTTTTTTCCTTCAAGTTATTTAGCTGTAAAATTAGACTGTTTTCACAGATAAAAACTGTTTAATTCCAGATTTTGTACTTCATCTTAACTACAAAGTGGAATAGTTTTGGAGACAAATTATGAACATCATAAGTTTGACACATATTAAGGCAAAAATCCAATGCATAGTGTCAAGGAACTTAAAAAGAGGACCACTTTCATCTTGGATTCTGTCCAGGAAGTCCTTGAGTTAAAAGAGCAAGAAAAAAAGATTA